TGCTCTGCGGGGCCGTGGCGGTCGGCTGCGCGCTGCTCCTCGCCCTGAAGTTCACCTGCAGGTGAGGCGGCCCGGACCCTCGGAGTTCCGGCCCGACGGCACGTGGCCGACTCTGGGCCTTCGGACCTGGGGGTCGCAGCGGCCTCCGCGGGGTCGTCGGGCCTGGCCTGGCCCGGAGCTCCGCCCCCTCCCCGGGCCCGCGGCCGCAACCTCCCACTTCCCCTCCTCCCAGCCGGTCCGCCCGCCCGCCGACCACGCGTGGAGGCTTCCGAGGATTTCCGCGTCCCCCGTCCCGTTCTAGTGCCCAGGGCCCCGAGCCGCTCGTCACCTGCCACTTCCGCCCGGTTGCAGAGCCCTCGTGGCTGCTCTGCCGCTTCCCCTGAAGCTTCCCGCGCCGCGACCCACAGCCGCTGGGGAGTCCCAGACCCCTCTGAGGATTTGTGCACGCCCTGACACCGCGACCTTTTGCGGCCACCTCCGGCGTGCAGAGCGCCCGCCTGGGCCAACGAGGACGGCCGACGACCCTATTCCCTCGCGCGGGGGCGGGGCAGGCAGTAAGCACGTAAATGTCATTGTTCAAGGCTTGAGTAAGTGCTGCTAGGCAGGGAATAGAAGCGATGAGAGTGGGACAGAAAGAGCTTCCTAGGGAAGCTCACACACGAAGCGGAAGAGGCCACCTGGGAAGGGCGGGGAGGCTGTTGAAGGTGGAGGGGGCAGCAGGCGCAGAGGTTCTGAGGCAGGTCGAGCTTGGTGTTCTCCTGGAACTGGAAAGACGTCTGAGGAGGCTGGAGCACAGTGAGCAGGAGGCGTGACAGCGGATGCGTCTCTTTTCAGGAATGCACACAGATACAATTTCGCTTTATGTTTGAGGTGTATTTCCGGTCCTCAGATCCACAATGTATCTAGTGGTACTCCAGTTTATAATATCTGTGTGTTGCCACTACATCAGCCTAGAGGAAGATTTCAGTTCAACAGTTTTGAGTTTGTTGAGTACAGTATGTGGCCCCTGTTGTCAAAGACGTGTCAGGGGATTGGGGATTTTAGTGGAAAGAGAACAAGTTATAATAGCTCTTACTGAACCTTTGCCCTGTGCTAGGTGCTGTACTACCAGGAGAGTTTCTTAATTTTGGCACTTAGTATTTGGGGCCAGATAATTTTTTTTCTTGTGCAGTGCTGTCCTGTGTCTTGTAGGCTTGTTTACCAGCACCCCAGTCTGTCCACTAGATGCCAGTAGCACACACCCCAGAGGTAACACCAACAGTGGCTTTCGACATTGCCTGGTGTCTCCTGGGAGCAGAGTTGCTTGCCTGGGAATTACTGTTTACATGAATGCATTTATTCATTTCGCACATAATTGAGAACCTTGTGTAGATTTCGTTTAAATCTCCCAGTCTTCAATAAAATCTGGATAAACTGTTGACTTTCCCTATTTACAGGTCAAGGAGTCCAGCCTTGGTCAAATTACAAAACCTTCCCCAAGTCACACCCACCTATTAAGTGACTGAACTGGAATTTGAGTCCTTTATTGTCAGGCCCTAGACTTTTAAACTTGCTCTATATTATTGTCTCCCACAAGGAAAATACATAAAGTATTTTACAAGTTAGTATGTTGGACAGTGGCATTTGGGTTCAAATTAGGAAGAGGTCCTCCCCTCCCCTCCCAGGGTGTGGAGTTTGTTGATTTCATTTTTCCATCTATAGAAAGAATGCTGATTGTTTGTTCCGAATCAGTATGACTTAATAGATGTGAAAGTCCTTTGAGATTTCAGAAGAAGAAAGTGTCAATCCAATTGCTAGAGCTGGCAGAGCAAGATCCTTACCTGCTTCAGGAAGTAGAGGGAGCTGGTGAATGACTGCTTATTCATCTCCTTTCTGTGTCACTGGCAAATTTGACAGTCTTTTTTGTTTTTTTGTTTTTTTTGAGTTGGAGTCTGACTCTGTCACTCAGACTGGAGTGCAGTGGCTGCTCCCAGCCACCACAGCCTCGACCTGCTGGGCTCCGGCGATCCTTCCGCCTCAGCCTTCCAAGTAGTCGGAACTACAGGCACTTGCTACCATGCCTGGCTAATTTTTGATTTATTGTAGAGATGAGGTCTCACCAAGTTGCCCAGGCGGTTCTCGAACCCGCGGGCTCAGGCAATCCACTCACCTCAGCCTCCCAAAGCGCTGGGATCACAGGCTGAGCCACCAAGCCAGCTGACAGTCTTTTAATAGACTCAGATTAATCTCCTTAGAGTAATTTTTGATTGAATGGTGTTATGGTACTATTTTATAACTGTACAACTGACTCTGACATTTCTATATTCCTTTTAAGATCTTTAGTGAAGACATGGGCTTAAGAGAGAAAGAATATTTTTATATTTAATTTTTATGAATAGCTCCAGGCCTGAAATTGGTGACCACCTGCTTAGGTGTCTGCTGCTTAGCTGAGTCCAAACCAGATAGTATAGAAATGGTTAATTTGGGGTTGAACCACAATTAATAATTGTACATTTCAGGACATTTACCTGTCTGCATGAAATCTCTATGACTTCATCATGCTTGCATTCCCTTTACTCTGATTTGGAAGAGAAAAAATGTGTGTAGATATGTATGTGTGCTTTACTGCATTTTGTAATTTCAAAGCTGCTGCAGATCCTCTTTGGAAGGAGGTGATGTAGGGTATAAATTTCATATAAAAATTGGGACTGAGCCGGGCTCAGTGGCTCAGCCTGTAATCCCGCACCTTGGGAGGCCGAGGTGAGTGGATTGCCTGAGCCCGCGGGTTCGAGACCCACCTGGGCAACTTGGCGAGACCTCATCTCTACAATAAATCAAAAACTTAGCCGGGTGTGGTAGCGCGTGCCTGTAGTTCCAGCTACTTGGAAGGCTGAGGCAGAAGGATCGCCGGAGCCCAGCAGGTCAAGGCTGCAGTGGCCGGGAGCGGCCATTGCACTCCAGTCTGGGTTGCAGAGTGAGACTCCAACTCAAAAAAAGAAAAAGAAAAAGAAAAAAAAAATTGAGACTGCAACAGTCCTCTCTTGTTTGTTTTTTTAGAGACTTGCCCAAGCTGGGTGAAGTGACTATTCACAGGCATCACTGTAGCTCACTAAACCTCAATCTCCTGGACTGAAGCAGTTCTCCTGCCACAGCCTCCTGAGTGGCTGGGATTATAGTCACCTGCTAGCATGCCCAACCATATCAGGCCTTCTTATTTGCAACCAGCTCTTGAGTTTTTTATACTAGGGACTTAAACTTTATAGCTGCAGAAAGTCTTGGATCTAGGTATAGTTCCTCAGAAATGTGAAGTAAATTGAAGGGTTAAATGGAAACTTGTGGATGTTTCTGATGGAGTAGAGGCAAGTGTTTCTTTTCCCTAGCTAATGTTGATTTTTGTTGGCCTTGTATTTTATCTGGTTCATTTACTTTAGGATCTTCTCTGAACAGGCAGAGCAAAAACACCAAGTTGATGATTACCTTCTTTTTTTTGACGGTCAGAGACCTACATTTTCCCTCAAATTGCATTAATTGATGCTTCACCTGCAATTTAAATGATAGAAAAGTAATTCCTCCAAAGAGCAGAATTTTGGATCTCTTGAAAATGTACCACTTTTCTACTACAAGGCCTTCCCCCCATCTTGGCATGGCTGCCTTCTTGTCATTCAGGTCTTAACATCCTAACCACCACCCTATCAGAGGAGCTACCGTGGCCATCTGTCAGATCATCTTGTTACATTTTCCAAATAGCTGGCTGGCTTGATGGCTCAGCCTGTAATCCCAACACTTTGGGAGGCTGACGTGAGTGAATTGCCTGATTCTTCATGTTTGAGACCAGCCTGGGCAACTTGGCGTGACCTCATCTCTACAATAAATAAGAAATTAGCCGGGCGTGGTAGTACACGCCTATGGTTCTGGCTACTTGGAAGACTGAGGCGGAAGGACTGCTGGAGCCCAGTGGGTCAATGCTGGGGTGGCCGTGAGTGTGTCCCTGCACTACAGCCTGGGCGATGGAGTGAGTCCAACTCAAAAAAAAAAAAAAAAAAAGGCTTTTTCCACATAGCGGTGGTCATTTTCTGTGTTTTATTGTTTCCGTGTCTGATTGCTTTCCTGCCTTCCTCCCCTAGAAAGTAAGCTCCTTGCTCACATTCAGTACTTGTTGCTGTGGTCTCAGTACCTGTGCCTGAAGCACAGTAGCCAATGCTCAATACCGTCTCTGATTATTAGTGTTTCAGGCTATGCAGATATTCTACACAGATGGAAAGTTCTTTGATTGGAGTTTAAAAATGTTAAATGGGTAATAAACAGGTGATTTGCTCTATTTTTTTAAATTTTTTTATTTGGAGTCTCACCTTGTCACCCAAGCTGAAGGGCAGTGGCATGCTCACGGCCACCCCAACCTTGACCTGCTAGACTCAGGTGATCCTTCCACTTCAGCCTTCCACGTAGCTGGAACTATAGGCACGTGCCACCATGCCTGGCTAATTTTTTTTTTTTTTTAGTTGGAGTCTCACTGTCGCCCAGACTGGAGTGCAGTAGCCGCTCCTGGCCACCGCAGCCTCCACCTGCTGGGCTCCGGTGATCCTTACGCCTCAGCCTTCCAGGTAGCTGAAACTACAGGCACACACTACCACGCCCGGCTAATTTTTTTTTTTATTTATTGTAGAGATGAGGTCTCTCCAAGTTGCCCAGGCGGGACTCGAACCCGCGGGTTCAGGCAATTCACTCACCTCAGCCTCCCAAAGCGGGTAATTTTTTTTTTTTATCATAGAGATGAGGTCTCGCCAAGTTGCCCCAGTTGGTCTCAAACCCCTGGGCTCAAGTAATTCTCTCACCTCAAAGTGCTGGGATTATAGGCATGAGCCACCACGCCTGGCCAATTTGTTCCTTTTAACAACACTTTTGCTTGTTTGGGAATTTTATATAAATGCAGTCATGTTATATGTACTCTTGAATATTTGTCTTTTTTCATTCAGCATATATATTTTTTTTGGGTTGCTGTCTTTGTCTCCCAAGGCTGGAGTGCAGAGACATGCTCACAACCACTGTAACCTTGACCTACTGGACTTAGGTGATCCTTCCGTCTCAGCTTTCCAAGTAGCTGGAAACTACAGGCGCATACCACCATGCCCAGCTAATTTTTTGATTTATTGTAGAGACAGGGTTTTACCAAGTTTCCCAGGCTGGTCTCGAACGCCTGTGCTCAGGCAGTCTTCTCACCTCAGCCTCCCAAATTGCTGGGATTATAGGCTAGAGCCACCATGCCCAAAGCATAATTATTTTGAGACTCATCCAAGTTATAGTATATATAAGTAGTTTTGTTTGTTTGTTTTTGAGTTGGAGTCTCATTCCATCACCCAGGCTGGAGTGCAGTGGCACACTCACTGCCACCCCGTCGTTTACCTGCTGGGTTCTGATGATCCTTCCCTCTCAGCCCTCCAAGTAGCTGGAACTAAAGGTGCGTGCTACCACACCTGGCTAATTTTTTGATTTATTGTAGGGACGAGATCTCACCAAGTTGTCCGGGCTGGTCTTGAACCTGTGGGTTCAGGTAGTCCACTCACCTCAACCTCCCGAAGTGCTGGGATTACAGGCTGAGCCATGGAACCTGGCCTATATGAGTAGTTTTTAAGCATTTTATTTTGGAGTAACATTTAAATAAACTGGAGTAAGACTGTAACTCCGTTTATCCTTTTACTGATGAGTCATGCCAACTTTCTGATGCTTATTGTTCACATGATTTCTGATTTCCCATCCTTATGCTTTTTATCCTGTTTTATATTTAAAACGTGTCCCTGTTAGTTAGCATATAATTGAGTCTTGCTTTATCTTTTTTCCTAATGAGGTTGCTTAGTCCTTTTATGTTTAATGTAATTGTTGACATGATTGGGTTTGAGTCAGCCTTCTTGTTACTTGTTGCCATTTGTACCTTCTGGCTTTTGTTCCTCTCTTGGTCCTTTTGTGCCTTCTTTTGGGTAATTTTTTTTAGGTTTCCATTTTAACTCATTCGCAGTCACTGACGTGAAATTACATCATTCCAAATTCTGTTCCTGGTTGCTGCTGACGTGAATTAACGTAATTCCAAATTATGTTTCTGAATAATATATATTCGGTTTATAATCCAAATAAAAATACAAAGTACAGAATGCTAGTCAGAGTGATGTCTGAGGCAAATACCGGATATTTCTGCAACTTTCAGCTGTATTGTGAAAAAGGTGACTATTTATTTATTTATTTATTTTTTGAGTTGGAGTCTCACTCTGTCACCCAGACTGGAGTGCAATGGCCCCTCCCAGCCACCGTAGCCTCGGCCTGCTGGGCTCCAGGATCCTTCCTCCTCTGCCTTCCAAGTAGCTGGAACTACAGGAGCGCACTACCACGCCTGGATAGTTTTTTATTTATAGCGGAGATGAGGTCTTGCCAAGTTGCCCAGGCGGGTCTCGGACCCACGGGCTCAGGCAATCCACTTACCTCGGCCTCCCAAAGTGCTAGGATTACAGGCTGAGCCACTGAGCCCGGCCAAAAAGTGACAATTTAGAAAAGACCATTTCACTTGTGCTACATGATAGAAGCTTGAGGCAGCCGGTTTCATTTTTAAAAAAATTTTCAGCCGGGCTTGGTGGCTCAGCCTGTAATCCCGCGCTTTGGGAGGCTGAGGTGAGTG